TGCTGCCAACTCCAGTGTTTTATAAGGGCCAACTGTCATCATAAATGGCTTTTGTGGATATATATCCAAAACCAAATGTTTACCCTGAAAATGACTATTATTTACGGCTAATGAACAATGAGAGTACAGCCAGATGTTTTTCAGTCATCCCATTCTGTAAAATGAATAAACAGCAGTTTCTCATTTCCATTTGGCTTTTTTTAAAAAAGTAAAAATACTCTATATGCCTTATAATAAAAAAATGGTACTTTGTTATATCTTATTTAAATTGTTTTGTGTTCCTAAAAAGAAATAAAAATAGATGTTACTACAATATATAATAAATGATGGCTATTAAAATTATTGATTTGGGGGAGTGTAAACCAATACTTACTAACTGCATGACAAAGAACATTCTGAAGACACACATCTTACTGCTCACCAGTAACACAGGTCATTGTTCCTCATCAGCTGGTCCACCATGTGCTCAACCCGCACAAACCAGCTGGGCACCGCTTTGTAAATGAGGGGGGTATCTGATCTAGGAAAGCAGAAATGGAGGTGTGGCTGGTCAGAAGGTGTGCAGGCACTGAGGACAACCACCTTTAGTGTCTCACTTATGTCACCACCACCTACTGGGCCTTCTGCAAAAGTAATGTCTACATCCTCAGTATTGGTCACCACCCTCCACAAAACCAAGAAAGGCAAGCTAGTAAAAGAATACAAGAAAAAATATAGAGTTCTCCTGTTGTGTGACAGCTGTCCAGGAAAGATATCACATTCACTCAGCTTGTGTGGTTAAGTGGTTGAGCATCAATCCATGTACTAAGAGGTCACGAATTCAATTCCTGATTTTGGGCTTCATCCCCAGTGGAGCCTACAGGAGCAACTGATTAATGTTTCTCTCTCATCAATGTTTCTATCTCTCTCCCTTCCTCTCTCAAATTAATAAAAACATTGAAAAAAAAAGTATCACACTCAGCAAAAATGAGGCCTGAGAACATAACATTAACCCTAATCCTAACCCTAACCATAACCCTAACCCTAAACCTAACCCTAACCCACGGAAGATTCCATTTCACCCAAATCTTTATAATCTTGTATTAAAACTTACTATCACATACATCTCACTTAATTCCATGAGAAAATTTTAGAGATGTATCTCATTCTAAAGAAATGTGACCCCCAACACAGAAGATAGTTGTCCCTGTAGGATGATAGAAAATATGCACATATGTCTTTGCCCCTGGATCCTGGCAAAGAGCTCCTGAAACCCTTCTAATTTTCTGGGTGACAAGAGTGTCTTTTCTTCTAATGAGGTGCTTCTGTGTGGGCCCTTGGATGGGGGCTGGACACTGGAAAGATGAAGCCATGATAGCTTGGAATTCCAGCCCTGTCTCCATCCTCCTGAGAAGGGAGAAGGGCTGACAATAGAGCTAATGGTTGATCATGACTTTTGTGGTGAAGCCTAAAATCTTAAAAGTATGGGGGTTGAATGGTTTTCAGGTTGATAAATGCATCAATGGGAGGGCGACACATCCCAACTCCATGGGACACATGATAGTGCTCACAGGACCCTCCCAGACCTCTCCATTAGGCTGTTCACCTGCATCCTTCAATAAATGTGTTTCCTGGAATTCTGAGCCTGACTAGCAAATTAATTGAACCCATCCATGGAGGGATCAGATGGAACCTCTGAACTAAAGCCAGTCCGTATATCAGGGATTAATCTTTGGGACCTGATAATGCCTCTAGGTCAGTGGTTCTCAACCTTCCAAATGCCGCGACCCTTTAATACAGTTCCTCATGTTGTGGTGACCTCCAACCATAAAATTATTTTCGTTGCTACTTTATAACTGTAATTTTGCTACTGTTATGAATCATAATGTAAATATCTGATATGCAGGATATATTTTCATTGTTAGAAATTGAACATAATTAAAGCATAGTGATTAATCACAAAAAACAATATGTAATTATATATGTGTTTTCCAATGGGTCTTAGGCGATCCCTGTCAAAGGGTCGTTCGACCCCCAAAGGGTTCGCGACCCACAGGTTGAGAACCCCTGCTCTAGGTAGATGGTGTCGAATTGAATTAAATTGTAGGACACCCAGCTGGTGTCACAGAGAAATGAATTGCTTGGTGTGGGGAAAAACATCCACAATACTGGGGACTGAAAAATGTCAGAGTAAAGTGTTTTATATAAGTTGTAAAGAAGATCACAAGATAAATAAGTAGGACCCGGTCAGCATGGCTCAGTGGTTGAGTGTTGACTGATGAACCAGGAGGTCACAGTTTGATTCCCAGTCAGGGCACATGCTCGATCCCCAGTGTGTGGTGTGCAGGAGGCAGCCAATCAATGATTCTCTCTCATCATCCATGTTCCTATATCTCTCTCCTTCTCTCTCTTCCTTCCTCTCTGAAATACATAAAAATGTATTTCAAAACAAACAAAAAAAAAAAAACAAGAAACAAGTAGGGAAGAAATAGGTTTTTCCTTTGTTGTCTGTGTCTGTATTTCTAACACAACTCCTGAGAAAAGAAATAACTGTATGCATTCATAACATTCTCCTTGGAGCAGGAAGGCAGTATCCAAACACAAACTCTAAAGAATACAAATGAGATTGAAACCACAAACTGGTGGAGTGGCACAAACATAAGTGTACGCACAAATCAAAAGCTCTGGCTAAAACAGTCCCCTCCTCACCTCCAGCAGAAAGGGTAGCTATGAGTGAAGGTGCTGGCAACAAGAAGTCGGCCTTGTTCCTTCAGCATCCTGATGATATTTTTGTCAGCATCCTGTTAAATAATTAAAATGTAGCTACTGAAATATCCTCCAGTATTTAGTAACATAATATAATTGAGTATTTATAACTAAAATCTGATATTTGGATACCTTTACTACTATGAGTAAAAGGCACAAATAACAAATGTATTATATAAATAATGTATCTATACTTTAGCCACTACGTAACTGCATGCACTTTTAAAATACATGCCATATCATTAAGGTAGTGCAGTTTTCAATCAGCAATGACTACTCCAAGGTCACAACGTTGCGTCATGAGTCACAAGACAGAGCCCATTTTTCCCAACTCCTTTAAACTAGAGCCTGCTTCCTCTAAAGATACTTGACGCTCGAATGCAGCTGATAATATCCGTCTACCTGTACTGATTTTATGCACTGAAGCAACACAAAACAGAAGCAGCTTCCTAAAAAAAAAACCACAATCCAAAATGTGGAAGGTTTTGATAAAAACTAATGAATAAAAACAGTCCGATGAAACCGAGATCTTTCTATGCCTTACAGTCACAGACCTTCACATACTGTCCCGTGAAATCTGACACTTCCGCTGTGAAACAGCCTGAAGCATCCACAGGGCACACAGGGACAGAATCTTTCTGAATGATGCTGAAGTCCATACAGACCCGATAGTCATCCTGGGGGGAAAGGAGAGAAGAATAAAACAGTTCAAGTGTATGAGGAGGTAGTGCAGTTTTCAATCAGCAATGACTACCCCAAGGTCACAAAGTTGCTTCTTGAGTCACCAGTCAGAGCCCAGTATGAGGGAGGTTTACAGGAATCATTTTCTGTATTCTCATACATACCTCTAATCAACTGCAATTATCCTCTCAACTAAAGTTAACTCAAAGACTGCACAGAGATTAACAGTGAATTATAGTTGCGGAGGATTAACATCTAGCCTAGCCTAACCAGACATTATTTCACAGATCA